ATTAATACTAATCCATGTACGACAGCATTAAAGATAAATGAAAACAAAAACGACATACTCAATTGTAATAACCCACCAAAGGCTAAAACTGCAGTATGGTGGTAAAAAGATCGAACCCACAGGGACAGAGGCAACACACAGAGTAAAAGTGTCACGTTTAATAGACTTTTGTAGAGTTTGAATTCTAGGCGACTGTCACTCCCAGAAATACTGCAGTGCTCGACTCGGAGGCTCGACTCGGAGGAGGATCTCAACTCGGAGGATGCTCGGAGGATGCACGGTACAGCGTGGTCACTCAACACACACACACACACACACACACACACACCTGAAACTGGCAAAAAGCACAACTCGGAGGTCGGTCAGGACCTCCGCTTCGGATTTCAGGAGGAAAGTGTCTCACAAGTTCACTCAGAGGTTCTGCAGGTAGTGCCTCCCACTCCGGCTTTTACTGCCCTTCCGCCAGGAACTAGCGGGGGTACCCGGACTGGACTTCCCACTTCGGAACGAAGCCTCTACGTACGCCGTGGACGTCACCCTCGACTATCACACAAAACGCAAGGAGTGCAGACCCGACTGAGAACTTACTGAAAACACGATCCAGTAACACACACACAACCTGAATTACAAACCAAGGTTTACACGAAGTAATGAAACTTCACATTGGCATTCAGGGGAAACTTCCCGTAGGAGTACAATCAGGATATGTCACTCGAAGGAGTAAGGGGGAACTGTTCAAGTATCTAACTCGCAGCCGGCTCTGAGCATCAGAAATCACCCGCAGGTGCAGATCCGCACTACTCAAGTCTCTAACCGGGTACTAGCTCTGAACATTCAGCCGAAGGCCTTCAACTACAACATACGGTAACTTCGCTATACTGCAGCTTCTCTACGTGGTGCCAGGACCAAAATGCACAAACACGCCAAGAAAGTGAGTTCCTGATCTGCACTTCCGAAACTGGAAGAGTCCCAAGGCAAAACGCCTTGATCTACTTTATACTCTCAAAAGATCCTAACTAGCACTACGCTATCCTATCTACCACTCGCAGCATCTGCGCGAAACCAAACTACTCTACTGCACTCAGCAGATCCGGTGCTGCGCCTCCTGCGCGCCGGACTGCTCCGCTTACTATCTCTACCTTGCCAGTCTTCCGACCGGCTGCGTAACCCCAGGCGTCGGAGCGCTGTGGTGACTTCCGACTGCAAGTGCGCCATAGTGTCGCGTGCACCCGACAAGAAGGTTTCTAATTTTCTCGCCACTCGGCGCCGACTCCGACTGTCACCTTCCGTCAATGCCGCCGCCCGAAGCTCGAACTCCCGGAGTGTAATCCTCTCTTGAGCTGCCACCTCCCAATGGGCGTATCCTTTTAGACAACGAGTCACCTGTGCCGCCAACTCTCCTCGCGCCCTGCAGCTGCTCTCCACCTCGGCCAGCTGCATTTCTAATCCCGCACGTTGTGCCCTCAAATCCGAGCACTCGGATTGCAAGTTGCACAACAACTCCTCATCCTCCTTGCGGGCTCTTTGACTTTCTTCTAAGGCGCGCGTCTGGCGCGCAAGCTCGGCTGCGAGGACTTGGTTCTGTCTCCGCTCCTCCTGCAATTCCGACTCGATCTTTGCCCGTATTAGTTCGGCATCCACCTGACTTTTCGTTGCCGCATCCTCCTTCTGCTGCTGCAAGGCTTGGTATAGCTTCTGGGTGACCGCCAGGTGTTGTCGGAGGGCGGTGTTCCTATCCACATATACTTGGCAACTAGAGGCCCACTTTGCCACCTTGATCCTCGTCCTTCGCCTGATAGTCTCCACATAAGACTGCGGTTTTAAGGCACTTGCGTATTTGGATGTCTTGCGATCCAGATATCGCAGGAGTGGAACTATCTGTTCGCACAGCACCCCTGTTGGCGTTTTCTGCACCGAATCCGCTTCCTGCTCTTCCGAGCTCGTATCATCCTCAGTCTCGAGGATTTCAGTCGCCACCGAATCCCTTGGCGACTCCCTGGAACTGTGGCGCGCAGCAGCTTCCGCTGCGACTGCTGCTCCACTGCCTGCTAAAATATCCAGGGCAGTGGGAGATCCCACTGCTTGAGCCCCTGTTCCGGCTCGATCTTCGGTTTGTGAAGGGGTCGACGCCGCAGTGACTTTTGTCACTCTTGAACCGCCCGCTTCTGCTGCCTGTCCTTCCGGCGCAATCTCCGCGGAAGGTGTCCTTGCTGAAGGTGCGTCCGCCGAAGGCGTCCGCACACTGGTCGTTGGCCCCATCCGTCTCGCAGTCGGCGGATCCGGCTGACTCTCTGTTGTCCGACTCGCAGTCGGCCGACCAGCAGTTGTCCGACTGGGAGTCGGATACACCCTGCGCGTCTTGACTCCACTTGGCCTGCTTGTTGGTGGCGTTCTTCCAGAAGTGCCTTCCGCCGAAGACGACCCTCTGAGGATTGTTGGCTCGTCAGCCAAACTCTCTTCTGCTTCCGGCCTGCTGTCCGGTTCAACGCGCCGTTCAGTTGGCCTTCCTTCCGCTTGTCGACCTTCAGTCATCCGACTCGCAGTCGGCCGGCTGTCAGTCCGTCCATCTCCTCCCGAAGGCCGTGGTGCCTTCTGTGCAGAGGTATCTGCCGTCTTCCCTAGAATCTGAGCGATTATCTCTTCTTGTGTGAGATTCCGCCGGGTCGGAGTTCGCCCGGTCTCCTCAGTACCAGTTGGCATTTTGCGTGCCCTCTGTTTTGGTCGACTGTGAGGTTCGGGGGTGGGCCGACCACGAGTCGGCGCAGCTGGCACTTCCGGCTGCCTGTCCTCAGGTCTCTCATCCCACTTCCGCTTTCGCGGAATGCGCTCACTTCGACGTTCTTCTGCTGCTCTTGCTGGAGCCGGAGCCGGAGGCGTACTGGCAGGTTCCTCGTCCGGATCCGTGTCTACTTCGGCCTCCCTCGAATATCTACCTGGATAAGTCCGGGTCAGCTGCGGAAACCGTGTTTTCTCAGCATTTGACAAACATCTCATCGCCCGGTAAAACACGATTAAGTAAGGCGATAGATGATTGAGGGTTCCTCGCTTCTCTTCTTGCGCATGTTGGCGCGTCACCTTCCACAGGAGCCGTGCCCAATGCACCGGAGCTCCTGACAACACTAGCTCCACAAACTCTACCTGCCAACCATGCATGTAAGCGGTCTTGGTCGGCTGCAATATCTGCAGCAATGCCGTCGCGACATTTCTCCGCAATCGATCCTTGTAATCCCGTGTCCGGAAACCGTTCTTGGGATGTCTGGCAACTTTGAAGAGCTCATTGTAAGAGACTTCTTCCTCCTGGGACACTTTCACGCTATCGGCCTCGAAGAGGAGATCCCCTTCCTCGCCGGCACACCTGCCCAACACCTGCGCCCAATTGCAAATGTCCCATCTCTCTGGGTGTGGGCGAAATCCGCGAGAAGGCTTGTGTCTCTCCTGCAGATACTCGCGCACCATCTCCGGACATGTCCAATTCCACCCCCATAGGAGAAAATCGAGCTTCAGCCTCAGCAGCACATCTTGAAATGCGCGTAGACCGATCTGCGGCAAAGTCACTCGCAGCTGGGGAACCTTCGACATTGCGTTGCCTGCACACACACAAACGTTCTCCCTTTCGCTCGCTCTCTCACAATCGCCACTGCGCGTCGGCCACTCAAGCACTGACTGCTCACTCTCTCTGCGCTCGTTCAAGATCGCTACTCACAATTCTTTCAAGGTCCGCCAAGATCCTTGCGCACTCGTCTCCGCACTCTCTACTCTCACTGCAGGTCGCTCCGCCCTTGCGCGTAATCTTGGAAACTGGAAATCGCAAAGTCAAGAATGAGAGAATGAGACTGGAGCGCAGTCTTTTCTTCTCCGATTTCAAGAACGTCCAACGTTCTTACTGGTTGCAACGTACGCAGCCGGCTATACGGCTTAACGGTTCGCCCTTTGCATGCGCGAATTCACGTCTCCGCACTGCGCGCATTCGCATGCTTAAACGTTGAATTCTCCCGCCGCCGCCACCTTCCGGACTCGAGTCCGCTGCAGGGTATACGTCGGCCCTGTTGTCTTTTCCTAACCCGTCCCTCACCGGAGGCGTGTCGCCGCTAGTGCGTTCATTATCCGTCGGCGCCTTGCTGGAGGCGCACATCCAGTCGGAGCGAATTACGCCGGCGCGCAGTCGTACCGCCTATTTTGTCCTTTATGCCTCATCCGTTGCTGCCGGCGCATATCCGTCAGCGGAACTCATGCCAGCGCATCCGGCCGTCAGCGCCACGTCGGAGGCGTACATACGACCGGCGCTTTCCTTCCATGAACAGCCGCCAAAGGCGCTTCCGACTCTGAGTTGGTTTCCTCTTATGAGCGCGTGATTCCGCCGAAGGCGCATCGCCGAGGGCGTACGGGAATCCTTTCCGGCTGTGAACCCTAGCGCGAACGGCGCATGTCCGGCTACGAGTTTTCTGACGCTCATAACTTCTCCATTCCTGATCCATCTCCGACGCTCTTGGACTCGTTAGAACGAGCGTCCCGAGCTCTTTCTAATGCAACTTCAACCAACTGGATCTACCGTGTATCCCGATTGTTATGAAGGTTTTCCCGTTCCGCGCTAGCGGCGCTTCGCCGAAGGCGCACTCCTGGTCGGACGCCTTTAGAGGTCCGGGCCCTTCTCCTGACGTCTTTAGCAAAACCTCCTCCTGAGGTGTCTGCGCCGGAAGCGTAGCTTCCTTATACGCTGGAGGCGCGTGAGTAGAGACACCTCAGAAAAGGAGCTTTTGCCGAAGGCGCCGAAGACGTTGGCGTTGGTACATCCGACTACGTGATTCTTTGTGCCCTCGTGACGATCTCATCAATCCACTCTATTTAGCGTACCCTTCTCTAGCTACAAACACTGCTTTGGTACTAGTTTTCTAAAATTGTTTAAATTCTGCAAAAAAAACAAAAAGTGTGTTACCACATCAATCTTCCTCGAGATAGTGTTCAAGAGCAAAGTCACAACCCGTGAAAAGTTCGATCATACGTGGAAAATGTATCAGATTCAGCAGTTTTTTACTTTTTGGAATATCGCGATCATGAACTTTGACAGTTTGTTTGGAAAGACTGCACTCCAAAACGGTGGGCTAACTGTAATGGTTCTTCCCGATCTGGCTATGTAAATAAGAAAGATCGCAATTCAATCTATCTACGCTGGGATGTAACATGGACAATTTAAACAAGGCGCACCTTGATTCATTGCCACCACTCTTCAGTCTATCCTAAAGAGACTCAATTTCTCAAATGACTAGCTGAAGAGCATCGTAAAGGCAGTATGGACACGTGGGACCTATGACATGGATAGAAAGTCATTTAAACCATCCATGCTTCTCATGTCCAGTCTTCTCGAGTTCTTCCATTTCCTTCTTTTCCTTTTTCTTCTCATGATGTTCGTGCAGCGCATAGCCCACGGCCCCTACCCCCAGGCCACCTGCAATTTTCCCTTCCAGCTTGTGTCTGCCAGAGTCTTCTCCTTCTGATTTTTCTTTGTGATGTTCGTGCTTTTCAAGACACAAAGCCCATATAAAAATCTCAGATTTTTTGAATACTCGTCATCACGAAGAACAACGTATGTATGTTCTCGTGGGAAAACAAAGAATACAGCGATTGGAGAAATTTCAGAGTTGAGAAGCAGACAAACCAAAAGTTGAGCAGACCATTTCTGTGGAACTAGACTTTTCTCTAGGTTGACTAGGCTAATTTTCTAGCATATACAATTGTCGTCATAAGCGATAAGAAAGTGATTCTTTTCTACGCATCATAAGAGTGAAATTTCAAAATCTTCATCGATTACATGCATATGCTAGAGAATTGACGTACCATAGCTAATGCACCCGCTGCCAGTGCACCAAGCTCTGCGTGATGCTCCTTTTTCTTGTGTTTTTTCTCCTCAGACTTTGCATGATCGAGATCAGCAGTTGTATGTGGAAAAGTTTCCACAGTTGGCGAATGCTTGTAATGTTGACCTGGATCACTCTCTGACAGGTCGCCCGGTGAATCATGTCGTCTGTGGTGATGTTCTGCTTCATGGTGGTGCTCTTTTTCATGGTGATGAAGGCCAAAGTGATGATGCTCCGCCATCTTACAATCGACTATTATACGGGAGATATGCCGCTAGCTCTATACCAAACTAACACTTATGGTAACTTTGTCGGAACAAATATCAGGCCTTAGACAGACAATCTTGAGTACTGATGGCTCATTCTTCAAGCGTTATATACTCTCTCCACGTTGATATGATCGGAAACTTGAGATTGACATGCGGAGACTTCACCTTCACACTTCGACAAGATCTGATCTGTCTAAGTGTGGAGGTCGTGGGGATCATTTTTGGCATCAAATCGGAGCTAAGAAGAAGTCTCCATTGAAGAGGTCAGCCTGTTCATTGGAGAGTAGATGGGGGACATAGATAGCTGTACTTGCACAGGTCAGCCTGTCAAGCAGATAAGGGCTTCCTTGAATTAAGAGGTAAGGTCTGAATCTGAACAGTTCTTGGTTCAGATATACTTTCAGCCCGGTTCCTTCTGGCACCAATTGATTTGAAGACTGGGGCTACCGAAAGTGACTTATGGTACAATGATCCTCGGACGTCAAATATTGCAAAGGACAATAATGAGGATGAGATTGGAAGTTTGGTCTATTCAAAACGTGTTGAGGTTCTAATATTGTAGGTTCATCTGAACGTTGAAGAATCAGTTTCCAAATTTCCCACACATTCATGAGGACCACGTGCAACCTCAGTGATCTGTTTCTTTATGTTCTCATGAGTTGGAGGATATCTCAGATTGTTTTGTTATCTAGATATTTACTGCTCGCGGCGTTCTCTTACGGTGGCTGCACTAAGTAATGCATACCAATGAGATGAAATCCAATAAAGCATACACTCTTAAACAAAAGACATCATATAAACACCAAAATTTGCTGGAGATTTCTTCAATTTGGCTGTACATCGATATACTTATGTTTCCTTTTGCTGTATACTTCCCTATGTAACTTGAAAAACAACTTGTCTTTTTTCACTACAGCAATCTCCCGAGATAGGCCCAGATCTGTCGATTCCTGTTACGGATCTCTGAGAATATATCTTTCTGTTATATTCCATCGGGTCTTTGTCGAATTAGATCCACACCTGTTTCTCAGATCTTCAGATCTTCCTGAAAAACATTCCTGTCCTACTTTTAACAAAATTTCGAGCATATTCTCAACGTCCTTGGGACTAGGAGTAAGGCGGAAGACGGAAGCACATTTCCGACAAATATTGCTTCAGTTCCGGCTTGATAATCGGCATCTGTCTATGTGAAAACGGAATCTCCATTATGTTCCAAACATATGTTAGACACAGAGTTCACGGTAGTTTCTGTGATAATCAGAATTCCAGGAATTGACATAGCCTTTAACGATAGATAATTGTGATAAGAAGTAGATATGAGGCAATTTGAAAGCTCGGATTGCCTTTGACGATAGCTAATTGTTACATAATTTAGTCTCATTCGTGGATATGATACTTTTTAGCCCTTGGATTCGCTACATGTAATATATACACATGTGATTGACTACATACAAATTATGAGTGTTCTGCATTCTATCGTGATCCACTTTGAGACTTACAGAAGAATGTGATAAGATGCAGAGATGAGGCAATATTAAAAAGCTCGGATTGTTATCTAGCGCAATGTTGGTGGAAAGAAAAGACCGAAGTGATGGAGTTAGTGTTTAGTCGATAATATACATTTCTTGGTGGGATACTGAAAGTCGAGAAGAGGATCTGAACTGGAATTTCAGTTGATAATATCAACCAGCAGGCAGTCAAATATCGAACATTACTGCAACAATGCGCATGGCTTGCATGGAGGAAACTTAATATTTTATAGCAGAATTATATCCACCTCACGTTCTAAGGGCAGCTATCTAGCTACAGAGCTTTATCTTTCTTTAGATTCTGGATTAAGTGAAGCTACAAATGTGTCTTCGAAATTCCTCTCCTAAATCGTAAGTGGTGGGCAGTTTGGGTCGTAGAATTTTTTTATATACCAAGTATAAGTTTCCGTTTTGAGACTGACAGAGGAATGTGATGAGTAGTAGAGACTGAGACATATTTCATAGCTCGGATTGTTACTAAGCGCCGTGTTGGTGGAAAGAACTGACCGGAGTGATGGAGTTGATGTTTATTCGAAGATATAGCTCTTTTGCTGGGATAGCAAAAGTCAAGGAGAGGATCTGAAATGGAATTACATCAACCAACAGTTACTTCCGTCTCGAACATTATTGCAAGTTTGCCCATGGCTTGCATGGAGGAAGCGTGATGTTCGGTACCAGAATCTAGATCTACCTCACGCAGCTATCACGTTACAAAGCTTCATCTTCATCGGACTGGAGCAATCGATGGAAATTCTTTAGACGCCGGATCAAGCGAATATAAAAATGTGTTTTTCCAATTCCACATATGAAGTTAAATCCATCCATTCACTATTATACTCTCTGAGAATATCTTACGTTTGCACTCAAGAGTAATTTGCTTACTGGCTGTATTCCGTAGAAACAGTAACTTCATTTCACAGAGTATAATATATATCATGACTTCTTCCGCATGTGAATCTACACTGAAAGTATAATAATAAATGTGAAGAAATAGAAATAGAATCAGTGTAGATTGATTCTTTGTGTTTAATACATCATAAATTCGTTATAAATCAGATTAATTTTTCATTACATATGAACTCATTGCTTACAGAAATAAAGATAAATGAATATATAAAGATATTCCTCATTCTTGCTGTAGATATTGTTCAAAAGCGAAGTCACGACCCGTGAACATTCGTTCGATCATAAGTGGAAAAGGTATTAGAATCTGCAGATTTTTCCTATTTTTTGGAATATCGTGATCATGAACTTCGACAATTCGGTTGGAAAGACTGCACTCAATTCGGGTGCGCAAACTGGAATGGTTCTTCCCCATTCTGGCTATGTTAATAACATAGCCTGATTAGACTAATTAGACTAACTAATGATTAGAATTTGCGATCTTTAGGTTGATTAGACTTATTTTGTAGTGATAAGGAAATGATTCTGTTGTATGCATCATAAGAGTGAAATTTCCAAATCTTCATCGAAAACATCCATATCCATGCTAGAGAGTTTACGTACCACAGCAAAAGCCCCTGGTGCCAATGCACCAAGCTCTGCGTGATGCTCCTCTTTCTTGTGTTTTCTCTCCTCAGACCTTGCGTGATCGAAATCAACAGTTGTATCTGGAAACGTTTCAACAGTTGCCGTATGCGTGTAATATTGACCTGGATCACCCTCTGACAGGTCATCTCGTCTGTGGTGATGCTCTGCTTCATGGTGGTGCTCATTTTCATGGTGATGATGGCCAAAATGATGATGATGATGATTCTCCATCTTCGAATCGACTAATATACGAGAGGTATGCCGCTAGCTGTATCCCAGACTAACACCGATGGTGGCTTTTGTCGAAACCAATCTCAGGCCTTAGACAGAAAAATGTAAGTGCTGATCGCTCGTTCTTCAAGCGTTATATACTCTCTCCACGTTGATATGATACGATATTTGATCTTACGATACCGAGACTTCACCTTCACACTTCGACCAGATCTCATTTGTCTTAGTGCGAAGATCGTGGGGGCCATCTTTGGCAATAAAACGGAGGTAAGAAGTAGACTGCATTGAACTGGTGCGGGGACTAGATAGCTGTACTTGCACAGGTCAAACTCCTAACCAGATAAGCACTTCTTTGAATTCAGATGTCAGGCCTGAATAGCAAACTCTTTCAACACTTCGAAGTTCAGATATGCTTTCAGCCCGGTTCTCTTTGCACCAGCCAATTTAAAGAATTTAGCTACCGACAGCGACGTATGGTGCAATGATCCCCGTGTCCAGGGCGTCAACTCGTGCACAGGGTCAATATTGCGGGTGGGATTGGACTTTCAGTCTATTCAAAACGAGCTGAGGTCTAATTTTGGAGGTTCATCTGGAACTGAAGATAATGTGTTGAAAAGTCAGACGTGAGGGTGCACTTGATCCTTGACCAGATGCGACCTCCGTGATGTGCTGCTCTGATTTATCATGAGTTCAAGGATCTCTCAATGTCTTTTATCGGAGGCGATTCTTTCGAGAATCACTTTCGCGGCTTTACGGACGCTGGTTTCCCGAAGTAATGTTAACCGGTGAAATTAATTCATGTGGTAATCCACTTTTTGTTTTTTGTCGGAACTAAAACATTTTTGAATAGTAAGTACCGCGGCAGCAGCTGTAAATAGTAATCGGTACGCGAAACCAGAGTAAAAAGAGGATCGATGACAGTCAAGGGGTTTTGGGCTTAGGCCACAGTGGGACGCTTGGGACGGAACGGGCGGTTCATGCTGCAGGATCCGCTTCGAGCACCTTCGGCGGTAAATCACTCATAACTTTCTCAATTCGTAACGCTTTGAGTTGCGAATTGAGAAATCAGCCCATTGTACCTATTGTCCGGGCCTAAATAAGCTTGAATCTGTTCCGAAACGGACATACGGACACAGTCGGACCAGGCTTCGGGTCTTGTTGGAAAAGAGCTCGACGCGCTGGTTCTAACGAGCCTAATAACTTGTGAAACGGATGAGAGGTCACTGAGTTATGAGTGTCGGAAGTACGCCTTTGGCGGAATAACCGCCGGAAGATGCGCCTTCGGCGGTACACGCCTTCGGCGATGCGGGAGAGTACATTCGGCGGAATAGTGAATCCCTCATAACTTTCTTAATTCGCAACGCCTCGACTTGGTTAGTGTTTCGTTGGAAAGAGCTCGACGCGCTGATTCTAACGAGCCTAAGAACGCCACGAACGGATGAGGACTCCGGGAGTTATGAAGGTCGCAAGATACTCAGCTTCTCGCCTACGAGTAGGCGAGGAAAGTTTGTCCTATGCGCGGACGAGAGAAGTCCGCCTACGCGTAGGCGCTTCGGCGTCGGCGGGAAATCCGCCTTCGGCCCTAGAAATGCGCCTTCGGGGTTGGAACTTGTACGGCGCCAGCGCAACAGCGCGGACGGACGCGGAGTCCTACGAGTAGACCGCTAACGACGCGGATGCCTGCGAGTAGGCGGACGCCTGCGTGTAGGACGCGGACGCCTGCGAGTAGGCGGACGCCCGCAAGTAGGCGGCTTGCGACGCGGACGCCTGCGAGTA